TTGGGAAAAAGTAAGGTTAAATGACTGACCAAATGTGTTCGTAATCCAGTATTGCCAGGACGAAAATGACAGATTGATAACTGTGGATGTCACCTTAGAAGATACACAATAAATAAATACATGGGATGTATAGGAGACGATACAAACAAAAAACCTAATTAAAGAGTTTATTTTTGAATATTGTGGGACAAATTAATTTTTTATCTATGAACAGATGTTAATTTAATCACAAACACTTTTATGTTATGCAAAATATTATTGACAGTGGTTTATTTTTTACTAAGCTTGTATAAGCAAATGTTTTAGATTATTTTGTTTGTTTGGTTAAAAAAATGGTTTTACTTGATTAACTAGGAATGTCAAATTTAGTTATAATTAAGTATTAGGGTGGCCCAAAAAAAAGAATATTTATGTCTTGTAAAAATATGTTAGTTTATCATGCTATGAGAGCCCTGTCAAAATATCAGCTCTATTACAAATTTTTTAGGGGTCGTTCAAGATTTTTAAAAATTTTCAAATTCGTCAAATTGAAATTGAAGTTTTGTTTTATTTTAATTTTTTTTCTCGTCTCGATATTATTGTTTTGGTTGAAAATAATAAAAATTCTGTAAATTTTAAATCAATATTTTGATTTCTAAAGGTCGCTAAAAGTTCGTTGATATTTATATTCAGAAGTCGCTCGAAAACATTTTGGGCGACCTTTAGTAATAAAAATATCAATTTAAAATTTTCAGAATCATTATTATTTTTAAATTAAAAAATAATATCTGGATGAGAAAAAAAATTAAAATAAAAAAAAACAATTTTTGACGATTTTGGAAATTTTTAAAAATCTTAAGCGACCCCTAAAAATTTTTAATGGAGCTGATCTTTTGACAGGGCTCTTAAAACATGACAAACCCACATATTTTCACAAGTAAAAATATTTATTTTACCCAATCGGGTAAAATAAATATATATTTTACCTCAAATTGTTAAATAAATAATTTGTATGTGATGGAAAGACTTTAAGAATGTTAATAGTTATTTACATGTCAAGCTTTGTAAATGAATAATGAATAATTTGTATGTGATGGAAAGACTTTAAGAATGTTAATGTCAAGCTTTGTAAATGAATCTTTACGGGCGAGCTGTAAGTTTGTTGGTATGTTCCCATAATTTATCGTTTACTTGGTTACAAAAACAAAATTAACCCATAAAATGTCATTTACTATAAAGGTAAAAATAAAAAATTTTAATTTATTAAATTTACCAAGAAAATTATATTAAATTTCAAAAGTGCTTGGGAATTGCGTTTCAAGGTTACAATTGACGCGAAATCTTGCGATAACTTTCTTATCCTATTCGGTTTTTCTTGCACCTGCTAAACACAAGAAAAATTAATTTAATTATTTTTTAATGTTTAATGTTTCAAAACAATATTAATAAATGCACTACGTCACATAGGTATGCATTTTGCCAATGAAAATGGAAAATTTAAATAAAACTCAAATTAGATTAATGTTTCCTCGTTTATACGATTCTAGAAATTGCTACGTGTTAGATTTCATGGACAAATCATTTTATAAATTAATTAATATTATTATTAATAACTTAATCTCAATACTTAATATTATATTTTGTGTAAGAAAATCTTCCACTAATTAAATTTATTTAAACCCTCGATTTGGTTTAAAACATCAAAAAACCTGGGACCAAAATATATTTTGCGGTAACAAATTAATTTTCAATCAGGCAACCGAGGATGATTTTATTAAAATAAGCGGTTTTATCTTTTTTTGCCTTTTGCAGCTTTCTCTCGATGATTGATGAGATTCTTTCAACGCTACTGCTTACACTTTTTATTGAATCATAAATTATGTGGGTAATCATGCATTAAAGAATTAATTGGTTTATTCTACGTTGTAATTGAAGTCATTAATTTTACACTTGGTATGGCAGAACATTGTATTACTAAAGGTAAACGTTGTCACAATTACCGGCATAAATAAAAATTTAATTTTAATAATACGAATTTAGAAGAAAAATAACAATATCAAAGAATTTTATGTAGGTGGCAAACAGTGGCGTGCAGTGCCATTTAAATGGGGTATGCAACAAAATCGAACAGTAAGCATGGACAACAATACATTTTATTTTTATGACTACACTTGCAGAGTCATTTATAATTGTCATAGATTTTTGTATTAAAATATCGAGAAGTTTTTCTTTGTGGCTGCACGATTTTTAATTCCGGGTTAAATCTAACAAAATTAACTTACAATCATACAACTAACTAAACTTTCAAAACAATAACACTGACTTTTGAAAAGTTACATAAAAACGCCGGGACACGTAAACCTAATTTTTGAGTGTGGAATTCAGTAGTGTTATCAGTTAAAGTTAGCTCGTTTTCTCAAGATATTAAATATTTAATTTTTTTGTTTCACTATTTTGCTATATTTTTTAAGAAAAAGATACCATAACGCGGTTTAAAATGTCTGTATTTATTTTTAATTCATAAATTTTCGTCTCTTAAATTAATATCTTTCGTGTTTAAGCCGATATTATTCATATTTTTTATTAGATTTTTCGCATATATTTTTTTTTGTAATTAAATTTGTTTTAGTAAATTTTATTGTCTGGTATTGGTAGGAAATATTCGAATTTAATAAAATTTAAGAATTTCATTTACTATGCTATTGTTTATTATAAAATATTTACTTTAACGAATAGACTAAGAAGTACAGCCTGTATAAATGTTGTTTTTAGTTTTTACAATTCGAATTGAAAGAATTCTTTGTTACAAAGTTTTTGCCCCACAAAAATTAAAGTTTTGAAAAAGAACCCCCTGTACATTAAAAAGCAGTAACTTTTGAAAAAAGTCTAGTACCTCAAAAATCGTCCATTCGGTTATGTTTGATTACCGCAAGGTTTGGGATCGATTACTTTTAAAATTGGGCTATAATAAAAAAAAAAACAAAAAAGTGATTTTGAAAGCAACGATCAATTTTGCAGAATGCGCATAGAAAAAGGGCACATCATATAGGTGCGCAATGGGGTTTAACGTGTGCCTTATTTAGTACATAATCAAAAGTATTAGAGGTCAAATTCTGAAAAAATGCACGATTAGCCAAAAAGCAAAAAAACTCCCCTTTCGGGGGATCAAATTAGGGGACGCCGAAAAAAAATTTTAGGGAATATTCTTGATTCATTATCAGCACCCCTGACTCTACATAAAAAATATAAAACCCGACTACCATCGAGTTTTTTTAATGTAGAAGATTGCGGTCGGACGTAGTGCACGGTGCTCGGGAAGCAGCTTTAAATGAAAAGATAAGTTTCATGTTTTTTTTTTGTTTTTATGTATTTATTGCAACAATAGAAGTAATTTTTTGGTATTTTTAGGATCGCTTAACATGGCCGTTTTTAAGAAAATATTGAATTTATAAAAAAAAATTGGATTTTTCGAAACATCAATTTATATTGTAATAAACTATCGTAAAAGCAATATGAAAGTGTATACGTACGTTTTTTAACAACTAAAGTATCAAGCAGATTTTAAACTTACATACATATATACAGTGTGGCCCACTTAAGATGGAAACACCCCCGTAACTTTTTTATTTGTAACCCGATTTTATTGAACAAAGGCTCAAAAGATAGAGAATAAAAAACTCTATTAGAGCTGTTAAAGTTGTTTTCAAAGTCACCCGACACATGCCTACTATAATTTTTTTTCTGTGTAATTAATATGTGTTGACTGCGATGTTTACGAGGTGTGTTCAGAAAATAACTGGAATTGTTAAATTACGCGGGTTCGGAGGGTCCGGTTGTCATAAAATTTTCTTTAATATGTTGGTATACATGCCACCGAAGAATGATAAAAACTTTAGCTGTTTTCATTGCTTACTTTGTCTGTGGCAGCCGCTAAGGTTAGACGAGTTTTATGAGCTCGGCGATTTTTCGTTCGTTAAAAGAAATGGATCAAAGAATTTGTATCCAATTTTGCTTAAAAAATGAAATAAATTCGGTGAAATGTTAACAAAGGCCTATAGTGAGTCTGCTATAAGTAAAACAAGAGTTTACAATGGGTATAAGAGTTTCTAAGATGACCGTGAAGACGTTGAAGATGACGAACGCCCCGAACGCCCAAGCTCATTAAAAACTGATAAAAACATGTAAAAAGTGGAAGAAATGGTTATAAGCCATCAGATAAGTCGCTGATGATGTTGGTATATCGATTGGCTCATCCCATAAAAATTTTTGAATGTTTTGGGTATGAAACGCGTGGCAGAAAAATTTCTTCTAAAATTGTTAAATTTTGAACAAAATTTTTGGCCAAAAACAATACTGTAATGATGCTCCAGCCTCCATATTCGCCAGACATGCCTCTGTCTGACTTTTTCCTATTCCCAAAAATAAAGAGAACCTTAAAGGGCCGTCCTTTTGCAAGCATAGATAAAATTAAAAGCGCATCGCTAAAAGAACTAAAGGTTATCCCAAAGATCGAGTTTTAGAAGTGTTCCTAGTATTGGAAGAAGAGCTGGCACATGTGCATAATATCCAGTATTTGTTGCAAAAAACGAAAATTCCCGATATTTTCTGAACACACCTCGTATCTATGATATAATTACTATTTTAGTTGGCAATTAAGACAAACTTTTTAAATTTACTTCCTTTTTAATAAAATTATAATATATATTATGGGAATTAAAATTAAATGGAAAAATATAAAAAATGTCAAAACGTCAGAGTATGCAATGCATTTGTGCTTTCATTGTATGCACGCCACTGGTGCCTATTTTTTTTTTAATTTATCTTATTTTAATAAAAGTATTTTAAATAATATTACTTTAGCTATTTTTGGAATATTTTATTTCACCTACGTGTTAAATTTATCTCGCCATTTTAACTGGAATTTACATATTAATTTAGATGTTGTCATTTTCCTTAATGAATTCCTATTCAGGCATTGTCTTTACTATAATAATAACACGCAAAATTGTTTTGAATAATTTCTAAAGTGACTCACCTCCAGGGTTCAAGTTTCGTGCCTGAGGGGTGGCAGCGTTAGCCGCCCCCGACGAACGGCGGGACCTAAAACAAGCAAAAATTTTAGAAAATAAGTTCCTTAAAAAATATACATTAAAATAATGTATTTAAATATTATAAATATTTCATAATTCCCATTATATATTTGATGTTAAAATATATGTTTAGTTTAAACGAAGATTTGTAATGTAATGTAATGTAATGTAATGTAATAGTATAATTTAAAATCTGACAACATTGTTAAGTCAGGTTCTGTCAATAAACACTGTGACAGTTTTAAGCATATACTACTAGGCTGGTTAAAAAAAATCAACTATTTTTTTTCTGAAATTTCGCACTGAAATATGTTCACGGTACCAAAAAAAGACACCTGTAAAAACCGGAGCTCTTAATTTTAATATTTAGAGGACGCGCATCGAAAACTTCCATTTCCCATTTAAAAAACATGGGAAATTTTGTTTTGTTTCTTTATAATTTTCTAGCTCACAAATTAATTAACAGATCTTTAAGCGCGATATATATTCTTGTGGGAAATTGAACGCTCTACAAAAAAAATTTCAGTGCAAAATTTTAGAAGAAAAAAAATAGTTGAACCAGCCTAATATACTACCCTGATTTTTTTTGGCCGATAGTTCTTATAATTTTTTAAAAAATAGCGAATATTGTTTGTGCTTTTCGCATCCATACACAATATTCATTATATCACACCCCAAAATATTCGACATATTTTAAATTTCTCGTAGTATTATAAGAATATGAAAATATTGATTAAAAAAAACCTTTTCCCATTAGGTAAAAAAATATTAAAATATTTTTAAAAGGATATTTTCCTAATGCTTTTTATTAAGATAGAGATATCGAGCTTGAAAACTTTTAAATTGTGGACCCACACATTCTTAAAAACGTGACATTTATAGAAAATGAAACAAAACATCAAGTCAAGAATTTTATAATTGTTTTTTTCGAAATTACATTAATACGAATAACTTTTGACAGAAGACACGTAAAAATAATTTTCATTGCAAAAATTTTATTTATTTTTTCTGTCCTTTAAACAATTATTTATTTATGGTGAATCTCACGAAATGTGGGTGTTAACTAAATGAGTTTGACCTACACTTTTATTGTGTTTTGATTTTTCATAATTAAGTAGGTTTTTAAAATGTTTTAAAAGTCTTAAACCTATCCTCCGTGACGGTTACTCTTTCTAGGTTAACCTATATGTTTTCAAATATCTCATGTAGTAAAATCATACTAAAAATATCAGTTCACTAAGTAAATTAAACACATCCAAAGCAATCAAATCAAATATAAAATATTATTAAAAATTAAAGAAATAATTTTTATAACCATTTATGTAGGTGTAAGAAAAATTGATTCTATTCTCCGTGAATCTGTTTTTGCTTCAAATTTAATGAATGACGCTTTAATCATTTTAAATAAGCAAAAACATCTGTTTACGACATTATAGATGCATGCGATTCCTGAAGGTCGGTTAGAATTTATATGCAGATGAGAGTGTTGCTGTTTTATAATTCAAAAGTTTAAGTTCATTAATTTGCTATTTAAAAACCTATCCACCGTGAAGTGTAATATCTCAGTAAGTAGACTTTTTTATAAATATTTTATGTATGTACAATTGTATTTTTTAAAAATATTAAGGTGTCAAAAAATACAATAACTTATATCAAAAAAGCAAAGGGATGTTAAAAAAACATACGAAATCCTAACCTCCGTGAAGCTATCTTCCGTGAAGCTCTAATATTCAAAATGTATGATTTCTTAAAATTATTGCATCAGTTCATGTTATTACTACTTGCATCAGTTCATGTTATTACTAGACTGGCTTCCCAAAAACCCCATTCTAGACTAACAGTGAAACAACCAAAAATAAAAAATAATCATTTTCACTTGGGGGACATCTCAATATATTAACCCTTATGTAATTCTTCTTCGACAGAAGTTAAAAAACGCTTCACTGTCAGTATTTATTTTATATTTGAAATCACCTAATGCATTTTTTAGAATACATTACCGGTTTTGATCTAGTAAATCAAGGATGCAGACTATTTTTTATTTGTTCGTAATAATTTTTTGTTGAATACTTTATTTAAATATTCGGTAAATTACTAGGCTCTAATTATCAGGAGAATGTAAAAATCAAAAATAATTGCATTTCTGAAGTAAGGTTTTTAAGTAATGTTTTTTAACTTGCAAAATATCCAAAAATTTAGTATGTACTAATATATTTATGTGAATGTATATTATATATTATCAAATAAAGTCGTTTATTATTATTATTATTATTATTAATATTTCCAGTGTCAACTAAAATGGTGCACAAACTTTCAGCCATTTAAAAAAAATGTGCAAAACCTTTAAAAAAAATGGCGAGTGCGTTGTTTTGAAAGAAAAAAATGGTGAATGGGCTGATATTTTGAGAAGATCCTGTTAAAATCCTGTTAATTTTTGGGTTTTTACCTCGCTTGCGACACCGTAAAATGTCAAATTTTTGAAGGCGCCAGCCTAGATTGCAAAACAAGACTAATTTATTTTGCATCCTTAAGAATAATTTAAAAATTATGCAAAATTTCAAGGAATGCTGTCCAATAAAGTTAATCTGACGTTGGATTACCTACAGTTAGTCGAACAAAAATTTGCAAAATATAAGTTTTTTTGAATGTTTTAAATGTACCAAAATTTATATTTTTGTTTTTTTTCACTAGGTAATGCGTATCAAAAAATTATATAAATTTAGTTCCTGGCAGTAACTTTGTTTTTATTTTAATTAAAAATTATATTCATAAACAATTTTAGTGCCAAAATGTCCCATTTGTGAAAATAATTTTAATTAATGATTTGGGATATTTTTAAACCAAAACAGTAACAGTAAAATAATTGTGATATTGTAAAAAATAATTTTCTAACAAATAAATTTAGTATATTTTTTAAATATAATAAAAATTTATTTAAATTAATTTTTGTGTGATTTGAATTTATTTTTTTCTTTGTACAGTTAAGAAATATATGTTTGCAATAAACAAGTAGGTAGGTACAGTATAAATATTTAATCTAGACATCTGGTTGGTAACACAAAAATAAATAATTTATTTAGTTAAATTTTAGATACAAAAAGACTAATACACGATAAAAAGTATTATATAACATGAAATATACCACTGTGTCAATAAATTTATTAGATTAGAGCACAATGTTTATAGTGGATTGGTGTAAATAATACTTTTAGATATAAGAATTAATTTTCAAAATCATGTAATAAATCATTTTATTCAAAGACAAAGAGTATAGGTGCTATACAATAATTGTTATATATTATTTATTTTCTTTATTAATAATAATTATGAAAACATTACCAAGAAAACATTCCTACGAGATAAACACGTTATTTTTGCAAAATTTGTGTCCTAAACATGCGCAATTTCATTGCCATGAAAGTTTGGCACCACCGCAAAATTTTTATAATTTAGTCCTTAATGTACTTTTTGAAAAAACATGTTTTTGTTTTGTTATGATATCGATACATTTTTTACTTTTGCTTACTCTGATGTTTTATTTATACAGGATGTCATTTAACTTGAACTTTTGAAATATATCAGTTAGTATGCATTTTACTAAAAAAAATTTAAAATAAAAATGAAATGATGGGTAACTTTAAAATTTCCACTGGAAAACCCTATTTTTTATTGCATTCGACTAAAAATAGGTAGATTTTGTCTAAAACATTTTTTCATATTTGTAATAGATGGCGCTGTAATGAAAAAAAATCAATTTTGTTTTATTTTTCTTCTGTATACGATTCTGCAATAATTTTTCTATAAAAATATCACTTTTTTTGGTAATAATTATCTTATTAAATTAAATCTGATTTTTTTAAGTACCCACGATTTTTAACTAATATTTAAGTTTCCTTTGGTTTAAGTTTTATACATTATTTTATTCGGTGATAATTATCAATTGCGCACCATGGTCACTTTTTACCTTACAGCATTAAATTCTTTAATTTAAAGGATTATTGTACTATTTTTAATAAATATACCTCATTTAATGTAAAAAAACATTATTTTGTCAATTAATTAATTTAATCCTAATTGAGGGGAAAAAATGGTATTTAGCAATAAATAATAATTATTATTGAGGTATAAAGAAATTATTTATAGTTCGGCAATATTTAATCAATTTAGTTCGAAGATTAATTTGCAAACAAAAAGACATTCTTTCGTTAAGCAGTTATTCATAATGAATTTTTTAACAGTGGGAGAAAAAATAGAAATGATTTTGATTTATGGAGAAGCAGGTAGGAATCTTGATGATGCTGATTATATCTACGTTCAGCGTTTTCCGGATAAAATTCGATCACGTACAGATTACTACAAAATGTATTAGCAGCAACGGCCGCTTATCCTCATGCAAGCACAAGAAAATTATCTAGAGATTTGGGAATATCTCAGAGCAGTGTTAGCCGAATATTAAAACGAAATGCGAACTAATAAATGCATTGAAGTCGAAGGCCACCATTTAATTAAAATTTAAAAAATAAATAAATTTAAAAAATAAAACCAAGTATTTTATTCAAAAATTATTGGAGAATCGTATACAGAAGAAACATTTAACAAAATTGATTTTTTTTATTACAGCGCCATCTATTACAAATATGAAAAATGTTTTAGACAAAATCTACCTATTTTTAGTCGAATGATCCGAATCTGCAATAAAAAATAGGGTGTTCCATAGGAAATTTTAAAGTTACCCTCTGTTCCCCCCTCGAATCATTTAATTTTTATTTTAAACATTGTTTCGTAAAATTTTTTACTTTCAGGTATTTTCATATCAAAACAATTAAACTTGTTCGAAAAATTTGCACATACATTAAAAGTATTTACAAATAACAGAAACACCAGCTAAAAACAAAAAATGTAATTGTTACTAAAATTCTTATTTTTTAAAATTGGTGCCACTACTCCAGGGTTAATAATAATAATAATAAAACCGCGCATTTTTCTGATATTTGTGCGTATAGGCAAAACGATTATCAGTTACTTTATAAAACTTTATTCAAAGGTTTATTTAATAAAAATATTTACTTATTTTTTATTTTATTTTTTTAAGTAACCAATTTTATATTGACTGTTTGTATAAAAAGTTATTTAAATCAATTTTCAAAGAAAAAATACTTTTAACTCATTTACAGAATTAAAATAGAACCTAAATTTAAGAGTTGTTTAGATTTGATCCAGGTAAAATTTACAACAAAATTAAACGTTTTGTAAATTGTCAAAACAGATTTCAACATTTACACATACCAGTCTTGTTTTTATAAGCAAAAAGTTTATGTTAATTAAATTAAAAGAAAATAAATTTATTAATTTGTATACTATGGTATAAATAATGCATTAAAGAAAGGTTGTGTCGTTAAACATCAACTTTATAGAGTAATACGCACATAATTTTGTCTTAATGAAGAAAATAAATATAACACATATTTTGTTTTTTACTAGATACTGCGTTTGATTCTATAAATACTTATTTTATTACATACTTTTTACATAAAGCAACGCGTAGTTCAATGGTCAATATTTTTACTTTAAATTAAAAATCTGTTAAACCCGCCTAAACTTTTATAATTTCAAAAATATAGTAAATAAGTCCATAAAAAGTTATTTTTTAAAATACCAAGTGGTTACAGACGTAAGCACAGTAATAAAAATAAAATAATTACCTACTTATTTTATTTTTAACTGGCTTTTTTAAACAAATTATTTTGTTGTTTTGTTTTAAAATTAAGGCTTTTAATTGGTGTTTTTTTTAAATTGTTTTGTAATTCTAAAATGGGTTGATTGGCTTAAATAATTTAGTAATATTAATATAAAATTTACCTTCCTAACGTTTAAAATTTATTTTTTTCCAATATTAAATATCAATGATTAAAACATTAAATTAAATTTTCACTAAAACCAAACTAATTATCAACTAATGATTTCTTGAAGTGGAGAGAGGATATTAAAATAATTTAAAAAGGATTTTAAATAGTAATACTTAGAATAATGAATGTGTGGTATAAAGTTGTACTTACTTTGTGTTTTGGGGTACATTGGTAAGGGATTGAAAATTGTTCCGAACACTTCTTAGACTGGCAAGAATTTGTGCAAAGGGCGTAACAATGAGGTCTTCTCCATGGCTAAAAAAAACACAAAAAATAAGATATAAAATTAATTATTACCATTTAAAATAACAAATAATTTACTTTGATGCTTTATCTTGTCTTACAATCAAAAACTTTTGTAATAAATCTCGAAAACCCATTAAATATATTAAAATGTCAAAATTAAACTTATATATTTATAAAGGTTATAAAATTATGTTAATTGAATATATGCAACCCATTATACGGTGTATAATTTTTATCAATTTCCATTCATTAAAAAAAACGAATAATAGAATGCAACATCCAATTTCGTTTAATTAAACAGAGTTCTGTTTACTTAGTGTTAAGGTAAATAATAAAATTATTTATTTTATTTAATTCAAAACAGACTGTTTTTATCAAAATATTTATACAAGCATGCTTAAAATCCAATATTTATGATTATTTTATTTAAAATAAAAATTGCGTGCTTATGCATAAAAAGTTTAATTAATTAAAATATTTGTTATTTATACAGTGGGCGCAAACAAATTCCCACTTTTATTTTTTGAAGATTTAAGCCTGAATTATAGATTGCCTTCCTTCCTTCCTCCCGTAGTCATGCCCGAACGATTTGTGCTTTTTTCGTGTACAATTCCGTAACCATGCGCGATGACACCTAAAATGGTTGACATTTGTTTTTGTTTATATTCTGTGTTTTACCCATTGTGTTTAAATATGAAAGATAATCATTTATATATTAGTGCAGTGATCACAATTTTAATTGCCCTAGCAGCTTGTTGTATACTGCCCAACTATGGAGAAAGGCAGTAAGTGCTAAACAAGAAATTAATGGGAAATTAGCATAAACTACATTTTTTTAAAAAGCAGTAGGTATTTAACTGATTTATTTAACTTAAAAGATAGTTTACTGCATTTCTTTGTTGAATTAAGATACAAAATGTCCATAGACCGGGAAACTAGGGGGTTTTACAAAGCAACGTTTCTAAAATTGAAAGACTTGATCATAAACAATATCTAAATATCCTATTTAGAGACACAAATTATTTAATAAACTGAAAACCTATCTTAAATAATATAAACAATAATGTATTTTAAATATTTTGTGCCTACGCGCTGTCACTCTACAGCGCATGTCCATAACAAGCACTGTGATTGGTCATGTCAAAGACTTTACGGTGAAAGATAAAATTTAAAAATTTCTACGGGAGGAAGGAATGCTTTCCTTACGGTACGGGAATCTATAACTGGCACTACGATTTAAATAAACATTTTTGACGTAATTGTCACCATTAACATTGCCCGTTATTAATTTTAATTAAACTTAACATTTATTGATACTTTAATATATTAAAATAACTTTAAAATATTTTTTGTTCAGAAAATATTTTATACTTTAATTTTTGTATTACTATAATTGCAAAATATTATCACAAAGTATTAAAAATTCTTACACGGGAAATGTTAATGGTGACTATTACGTAATGTTCATCTTCTACGGGAGGAAGGAAGGCAATCTATAATTCAGGCTTTAGTATATTAAAAAAAACATTTTCAAAATGACGTCGTACTATCAAAAGGTAAAATTTTAAAAAATACAAAGTGTGTACATAACTACCTATTTTTGTAGCGTTGAACAAAACAAATTGATTTTTTTACCAATCGGCGCCATTTAAAAAAAAAATTGCCAAAAAGTAGTCTTTAATTATTATAATAAGAGTAGGTATCTTACTAAAATTTGAAACTTTTAAATTCTAAAAATAACACGTTTTGAATGCAAATCTTATGTTGGTTATTTCTTACAAACCCTGTATAACCTAAAAAATAAGGCCTTAAAAATGATAAAACCCTTTAAAAGCAATTTTAATTAAAAAAAAATTCATCAAAGAGGGTCCTCATGAAAAGTTATCCATATTTATAAATGAAAATCGAGAATTAAATAAAAGTTGGTGCAAATACAAGTTAATTTTAAAAAGATTATTTACGCAGAGTTTAGCTTTAATTAAAATATTATACTTGGGAAAAGATATTTTTTAATAATCTTTATCATCACACAGATCTGCAAAACAGTCACAATCAGAATTTACAATTACGGGGTTGGATATTTTTTGAAAATGGTCTAAAAAACTTTTTGAGATCCTGGAAATAAGTTAATAGTGTTTTAAATAACCATTTTTAACTAACCGACGTCATATTTTTGTGAACACAAATAAATTTAAATAATAAAAAGATTGTGGTACACATTAGCACACCTTAAAATTACATTACATGACATTTTTTTTAAATAAATAAAAAAACTGAATGGTTGTGATTAAACTTACTAAACAAGGACATTTTTCTAAATTGTATCCAGCGTATTCCTTTGTATTTTTTGGAAATTTACTCCTGGGCCTGTATCGGTTGCCATGGTAACTGTTTTGCAGAGAAAAGAACAAAGAAACGGCCAAGTTTTCAGAGATTTAACGTACCGAGCTCTAAAAAGGGTTCAAAAAATGCATTTGCCTGAAAGGTTTTGTTCCACTAGCTAGTTTATATAATATGTATATACATATATATATATATTCACTGCATATTCCTTTGTTTAAAATGCTTTGTTTTACATAGCGAGGTTTGTAGCAAGCTAAAATTTGCAATATTGCGGTATATTTTACATTATTTGTAAAATATTAAGTCCAAATGTAACCTGCTTAAAGTAAACTGTTTCTTCACTTTACTCTCACGCATAAATTTAGATAAAATTTATCATATATTCCTTAGCCAAAAGTTGCTTAGTTTTTAGTTTTTTAGTTTTTTTATTTCTTAATGTGTTTTGTATTATTTTTTATTACTATTTTACAGTTTTGTAAAATACATACAAAACGAGTAAAAATGTTTAAAAGTCTTGTTTTTACCAATAAAAATATCGGGTGAAATTTTAAACCATTTTTGTAATTAATTTTTTTTGTTAAAGCAACTGAAAATTCTTAAAATATGGATTTGGGAAAAAACCATAAGAGTAATCAAGTTTAATCAAGAGTGCCTTTTATACAGGGTTATTCTACTCAAAATGGATACCGTAATAGAGGTGGTAGATCTTATACAGGGCGTCCCAAAAGTCACGCACCACCTTGAGGTGAATGATCTACAGAACACCAGGAAATCTTTAATAGTATATTATGTATCAAGTTTGATAAACGCCATTTTATACACGAATTTAATTTAAATTAATGAGTTTATAGAAAAGTTTATAAACGAGGTGTATACTATACTGCCGTGCTTAATGAAAACGCCGTAACCAACAATTTTGCGATTTTTGGTTTACGGCATTTTCTACTAGAACAATTCATCCTACGTCTATCCCCGGTACTCAAAAAACCGTATATATATAGATACGTTTTTTTGAGTACCGGGAATAGACGCAGGATGAATTTTTCTAGTAGAAAATGCCGTAAACCAAAAATCGCAAAATTGTTGGTTACGGCGTTTTCATTAAGCACGGCAGTATACTTTTTCTACGATAAATACTTATTATTATGTTAAAATGATTTAAATCAAAATTTTGTATAAAGCGCCATCTATGAAACAATAGGGGAATCTGTGTTTATCGCCGACGGTGGACGAGTGGTTAGTGCTGTTGACTACAAGTCGGAGGTCGTGGGTTCGAATCCCAGCAGGGGTATGGCTGTTTATTTGTGTTTGTCCTATTGTGTAATAGTCCTTCGGAGGGGACTTTAAGTCCGCGGTCCGTTCCTACCCCTAACGAATTTAAGTTATAGTTTATTGCCGGCGAAATTAAAAGGTCAGTACAATGTTCATATAAACTTTTCAAATATTGGGGTTGAGAAACTATTTAATACTTTTGTATTGGGATGATAAAATAATTTTCATATTTAGTATTATTTTACAAGAAAGGCACTTTATTTTAACGATTTTATGACATTTGACAACTTCAGCCCGTGACTAAAAACCTGTTGCTAACTTCAGCCCGTGACTAAAGTGCCATAAAGCCACAACTTGTCAATGTGTATTTAAAAGGTGACTTAGTGTCATGGAAACATGTACGATAAAGGGCGTTTTAAAGGTGGGAGTAGAAAAAATTATTTAAAAAATTCTACCTTTAAAATTTAAAAAAGGTTTTTAAAAATAATATGTACCTACATTGTTTTAATTTTTATTAAATAGATAAATGAATAGAGAATGTTTAAAGAATAGTTTTATTAGGAATTAATGTTCCATCTCATGCAATAGTTATTTATGTATCAAGGCAGTAAAGTCGTATTTTTTATCACGAATGTGGAAATTATTAATAATCACGTGAGTGATAAAAAATGACTTTAATGCCGAGGTGCATATTAAATTTTATCCGAAATCACATGTCAAATGTCATTTGAATGTAGGAAGTGTCTAGGTATACTGTTTGTTGCGACGGTTATTTGCCCGCCGCGGCGATTTTTTAATCTAATAAATAAAATTAACTTATTATTTTTATTAAACAACATTTTATGAAAGGGTCTAATCCTTCTCCGCGACAGTGCTTTTTTAAATATTATTTAGTTCCTGCTGAGGAGCAGTAGACACATTTTAAAATGTTTAATGGGTTGCATACAATATTCGTATTAAATCGGCAGTAAAGTTCTACTTTACTGCCGATTTCGGATAAAAATACATTTAATACTTTAATAATAATCTAACTGACTGTTATCTGTTTATATCACTTCATAGATTTTGTCATAGAATTTCTTTTAAATTTTGAAACACCCTACTGCAGACATGTATGTTTAAGTATTCAGTACACATACATGTTAAACGAAGTAAATTTGAACAATATAATTTTATAAGTTATAAATCATCAGGTATTTTTATATATCCTTAATCCTGGGGATTTATTGAACCCACATAGGTTTTTACACCCAAAAGTCTAGACAGATGTATTTTACGAAATTTGGTGCCTATAAAAACACAAACCCTTCAGTAAAGTTTATTGTTGGATAGTGTGGGTTTCGTATTGACAATGTTTACCATTTCTTTTGGGACGTTTTTTCGACTATCGCTGGTTTAACATATCAATCAGTCGTCTGGATTATGTTCAAGATACATCAAGATTAGAAAATGCGTTTAAAGTTCAAAAATGGCGAATGCGCCGGGATCAACTAAGTAAACAACCAAAAAAATGTCAATC